CTTCTTGGCTATGGTGAATAATGCTGTAATGAACACAGGGGGTGCATAAGCATCTTTGGATTGTTGATTTCAGGTTCATTGGATAGATTCCCAGTAGTGGGATAGCTGGATCATAGGGTATTTCTAATTTTAATTCTTTGAGGAATCTCCATACCATTTTCCATAGAGGCTGCACCAGTTTGCATTCCCACCAGCTGTGTATGAGGGTTCCTGTTTCTCCACATCCTCTCCAATACTTGTTGTTTTTTGTCTTGGTGATTGTAGCCATTCGAACAGGTGTGAGGTGGTATCTTAGTGTTGTTTTGATTTGCATTTCCCTGATGATTAGTGATGTTGAACATCTTTTCATGTGCCTATTGGCCATCTGTATATCTTCTTTGGAGAAGTGTCTGTTCATTTCCCCTGCCCATTTTTTGATCGGGTTGTTTGTTTTTTTGTTGTTCGGTTGTGTGAGTTCTTTATATGTTATGGAGATCACCCCTTGTCAGATATATGTTTTGCAAATATTCTCTCCCAGTTGGTTGGTTGTCTGTTCACCTTGGTTTCATTTGTCTTATAGAAGCTCTTTAATCTGATAAAGTCCCACTTGTTTATTTTTTCTTTAGTTTCACTAGTCTGGGTAGGCATGTCATCCGAAAAGATTCCTTTATAACCAATGTCAAATAGTGTGTTGCCTATATTTTCTTCTATGAGTTTTATAGTTTCAGGTCTCACCTTCAGGTCTTTGATCCATTTTGAGTTAATTTTTGTGAATGGCGATAGCACATGGTCCACTTTCATTCTTTTGCATGTGGCTGTCCAGTTTTCCCAACACCATTTATTGAAGAGACTTTCCTTTCTCCAATGTATGTTCTTAGCACGTTTGTCGAAAATTAGCTGTCCATATATGTGTGGTTTTATTTCTGGGCTTTCAATTCTGTTCCATTGATCTGTGTGTCTGTTTCTGTACCAGTACCATGCTGTTTTGATTACTATTGCTTTGTAGTATGTTTTGAAGTCCGGGATTGTGACGCCTCCTGCTTTGTTCTTTTTTCTTAGGATTTCTTTAGCTATTCGGGGTCTTTTGTTGCCCCATATAAATTTTAGTGTTCTTTTTTCTCTTTCTGTGAAGAATGTCATTGGGATTGCATTGAATCTGTAGATTGCTTTAGGTAATATAGACATTTTATTTTAACTATGTTTATTCTTCCAATCCACGTGCATGGGATATCTTTCCATTTCTTTATATCATCATGGATTTCTTTCAATAATGTCTTGTAGTTCTCATTGTATAGGTCCTTCACCTCCTTGGTAAGATTTATTACTAGGTATTTTATTCTTTTTGATGCAATTGTAAATGGTATTATCTTTTTGAGCTCTCTTTCTGTTAGTTCATTATTAGCATACAGAAATGCAACTGATTTTTGTAGATTGATTTTGTACCCTGCAACTTTTCTGTAGTTGTTGATTGTTTCTAATAGTTTTCCAACAGATTCTTTAGGGTTTTCTATATATACAATCATGTCATCTGTACATAGTGAGAGTTTCACTTCTTCGTTACCTATTTGGATTCCTTTTATTCCTTTTTCTTGCCTAATTGCTCTGGCCAAAACCTCCAGTACTATGTTGAACAGGAGTGGTGAGAGTGGGCAGCCCTGCCTTCTTCCTGTTCTCAGAGGAATGGCTTTCAGTCTTTCCCCGTTGAGTATGATATTGGCTGTGGGTTTGTCATAAATAGCCTTTATTATGTTGAGGTACTTTCCTTCTATTCCCATTTTGTTGAGAGTTTTTATCATAAACGGATGTTGTATCTTGTCAAATGCCTTCTCTGCGTCTATTGAGATGATCATGTGGTTTTTATTCTTTGTTTTGTTGATGTGGTGTATCACGTTGATTGATTTGCGGATGTTGAACCATCCCTGCATCCCTGGTATAAATCCCACTTGATCATGGTGTATGATCTTTTTAATGTATTGTTGTGTTCGGTTTGCCAATATTTTGTTGAGGATTTTTGCATCAATGTTCATCAGCGATATTGGCCTGTAATTTTCTTTCTTTGTATTGTCTTTGTCCGGTTTTGGTATCAGGGTGATGTTGGCCTCATAGAATGATTTAGGAAGTGTTCCATCTTCCTCTATTTTTTGGAATAGTTTGAGAAGGATGGGTATTAAATCTTCTTTGAATGTTTGGTAAAATTCACCGGAGAAGCCATCTGGTCCTGGACTTTTATTTTTTGGGAGGTTTCTGATTACTATTTCAATCTCTTTACTTGTGATTGGTCTATTCAGATTCTCCATTTCTTCTTGGTTCAGTTTTGGGAGGTTGTATGAGTCTAAGAATTTATCCATTTATAAGTGTGTTTTGAAATTGTCCATTTCTGAAGGTTATGGCAAGTTGCTGTGGACTCAGACATGAGTAACCTCACAAATGCCATTCCATTGTGACATGTAGGACTTCCATTAATTTATTTTTACTATCTATTTTTAAAGTTTCTTTCATATACACATTTATTCTTTTTTTGTAGCTTAATTTTCATTAATATTAGAACATTTTAAAATATTAGATTCGGTTGAAAATAGCATTTTTTTAGTCTATTTAATTAGTACACAGTAAAACAAACTGTTTTCATATATATTTAGAGAGATATTTTTTATTTTCTTAAAATATTTAATCAAAAAAATGTGGGTAAGTTTACATCTTAGTTTAAATCACATATATTCTATTACCTTTTTAAGCAGAGAATCTGAGTACTATCGCAAATGAATTTACTCTTCTATAGAAGAGTAAGACATTGTAGATTTTATTTGATTTTCTGTAATCAGTAATTCAAAATTGCTTATCTTCTTTAAAAAATAGCATTGCTGAGATATTTGAGTAATTGTGCTACAGACAGGATTTTTTTTTAGCTCCCAAGTGTTGTATTTCCATCAATGATAATTTCCTTAACTAATAAACAGTGCTTCTTTTGACAGTGAAAATTATTGTCTTCTAAAAATAATAGTGGATTGAATAAAAATAGGTAGTAGGTATAAAAAGTAATTGATTTAAAATCCATTGTTTTAATTAATAAAATTTAAAATCTTAATGATTTATTCTAAATAGTAAAAGTTATTTCAAATATTCATAATTGGGCAAATAAGAATGCATACACAGCTAAGAGGCAGCATGTTTATGACATTAAGACTGGGGAGTCAATAACAATGTACCCTTTGTTGCTTATAATTATATTTCTTTCATAAATCCAAAAGAGATGTCCAATATTTCCTGTTAAAATTAACAATTATTTCATGCATATTTCATCTAAACAAATGCCGAATTTTGTTTGTATGTTTTTTAACTTATGCCTAGACTAAACAATATTATATATACTTATCTGAAAGTATAATTATTTCTTTCCATGTATATTTTTTCCAACAATGCTCTGCACTGGAAATTTAAAGGAAAAACTATTTATCTAATCTATCTATCTATCTATCATCTATCATCTATCTTCCTATCTATCTGTTTATCTAACTCTCTATCTATCATCTATCAACTATCTATCATCTATCTACCTATCATCTATCTATCTTTCTATCACCTACCTATCCCTATTACATAGTTTTCCTACTTTTCATTTATTTCTTATGTTTCATTATTAGTTGTTTCTAATTTATTTTGATTTAATTTTTGAGATAGATCCTTATTTTACTAATTTTTACCTTCTTTTTAATATACAGATCAAAGATTACATATTTTCTCAGCTTCTGCTGAATTTTCCATGTTTTGATATGCTGCATTGTATTATAATTTTTTTTACAGATTTTAATCTTTTTATTATTAATTTTCAACTAAATTACACGGTTCTGAAAAAATACTTTGAATGAAATAAATTAGGAATGCTGCAGCCAGGGAAAGGAGTAGAATTCTGGGGATAAAAAGTTATACTTCTGGAAGAAGGAAAGAAACAGTTGTGAGGGTCACACCCCTGAGACACAGGCCCATTAAAGACTAAGCAGTAATCAGATGAATATAGAACACTCCTCCCTCCCCACCCTTACCACCACACCAACAAGCCTCCAGTAAAACAAGGGATTACAACTGAAAAAATTGCAAGACACAGACTCTTCTGAGAAGGAGTATGTAGGAAAGATCTGAAGTCAAAATGGAAGGTAAAAAACAAAGACACCAGAGGAACTTGAAGCCCTGGCACACATAGCTATGGAAAATAATAAACAACTCTCAACCCCTAGCCAGATTAACATAAATCCCCACACTAAAGGCCAATTTACCTCACTCTCCACTACTCAATACAATGTTTGTCTTTCAGTAAAAAAGTCAGAAAGCATGCAAAAAGGCAAGAAAAAATGCACTCTAATGAGACAAAATAATCATCAGAACCAGACTCAGATATGAGACAGATGTTGGGATTATGAGACAAGGAAGTTAAAATAACTATGATTAATATGTTAAGAGCTATAATGGAAAAGTTAAACGACGTGAAAGAACAGATGGCAATGTAAGTATAGATATGGAAACTCTAAAAGAGAAATTGAAAGAAAACTCTTGAAATAAAAAGCATTGTAATAGAAATGAAGAATGCTTTAAAAGGCTACTCAGTACACTGGACACACCTGAGGAAAAACAGTAAATTTGAACATATATCAACAGAAGCCTCCCAAACTGAAGTGGAAAGAGAGAAAAAAAAGAATGAACACAAGTCACTACAGAACACTCAAGAACTGTGGGATGATGTTTAAGATATTCCCTTTTATACTAAGATTCATCATTGCTATTGAGAAAACTTACTATTGCCTTCAATCTTATTACTGTTACACTGAAGATAACGTACCATATTTCCTCACTTGTTTTATATTCTATGTTTTATCTAACATACTATAATATTGATCTTTTTTGGAGTGTACAGTACTATGGATTTTAAGACATGTAGCAAAAACCAGTCAGTATACAAAACAGTTCCATCTCCCCCAAAAACCCCTCTGCGCTCTTCCTTTACCTTTACCCTTGTTTTCCAACAATACTTCTATGCTTTCTTTAACTGTTTCTTTTTTTTTCTTTTCTCACTGCTTGTGGTTCATTAAACTTCATGAATATGATGTCTTTCATGATGTTTGGAAAATTTTCATCTACTATCTATTCTAATATTGTTACTGCTTTATTTTCTCTCTCCTCACATTTGAGACTCCAGTCATGTGTATATTTGAACACTATTATTTTCTGTAAGTCTCTCATGGTCTGTTCTGCATTGCTCCTATCTTTCTTTGTGCTTCAATCTGGATTTTTCAATGGCACATTTTACAGATCACTAATTTTCTCTTTTGGTTTGTTGATTCTGCTGCTAATATCATTTATCAAATTGTCTAGTTCAATTTTTTTTCAATTCTGGCTCATCTATTTTACTCTTCCATATGTTTTATTTTCTGGTCATATTCTATATTTTCTAATTTCTTAATATTTTATTCATACTTACTTTACTACTTCTGTATTAAAACTCTAATATCTAGCCAACTTATGGGTCAGTTTCTATTATCTGGGTTGTTTTCCTGGTTTTCAAGTAGTGTTTTATCTTTTCTTGCATGCTTGGTAAATTTTTATTTGCTTACATTGATTAAAAAAAATTGTGGGGGCTCTGGATGATGTCATCTTTCTCTAGACAGTATTTTTTTTCTGGCCATGAGATAAAGGGCAGATAATCTTGTTCTAGTAATGATAGGTCCTTCCTTGATTATAACTCTTTAAGAGTTCTAACTAAAATCCTATTAAATATGCGCCTTACAAAGTTCTTGCTCGACCCTGACATCCAGGTGTTGGTTTGTTTGTTTCATTTCAGTATCGTTAAGTGGCTGAACTTGAGTCACATCTCATTCTTGCTTGCTTACTACGTTCAGCACCAAGCATAGACAAGTTTAAGCAGCAAAAACTTGCTTGATGGGTAACATTGGGCAGAATATTCATTCTCTTCTCTATACTTGCCTTTTCTTTAGGATCTTCGTCCCTCAAGGATTAGCTAATATGTATCAATGAACTCACATATTTTTGTCTCCCCAGTCTTGTGAGATAGCTATAAATTCTAGTTTGTGGCATTTGTTCTGTCTTTTGTTCTGCACTGCAATTCAAAACAAGTCCTTAAGGAAATGCAGGGATAACTTCATTGTGTGCATTTCTCTCTGACATCTTGGCTCCTCAAGTCCTGGATGCCTTGGTTGTTCCTCAATGACTTTAAACATCTGTGGGTTTTTGTTTTGTTTTGATATTTTTATCTACATTTTATAAGATCTTGGTGGGAAAGTTAGTCTTATTCCAACTTCTCCTTACTAGTCAGAAGCAGGATTTTTTCCTTTCTTCTGTTTCAAATTACTAATTTCATAGAAGCCAATTAACTCTTGATATTTTCACATAATATTATTTCAGTAGAAGTTCAGCCGTAGAAGACCAGAAATAGAGATCTTCAACTAGTGTTTTAGCTCCTGGAGTAACTAGACCCTGTCTTTGTGCCTAACACAAAGTAAATCCTCAATAAACATTTATTAGATGAATAAACAAAGGAGTATGCTTGAGCACATTACCTTTTCCAAATTGCTGATAACACATCTATCATTTCTTTATGTATTTTGCTTCATACTACTTTCATTCAATAATCAGTGCCTCTTACTCATTGCTCTCATTTTACACTTAATCCAGTTTTTATTTCCCAAGAATCAAGTAAGCTTTAAGTCCACATATAAATGTATTTTCTGAATAAATATATTTTTACTTTTATTTATTATCTATTTATTTATTAATTATGGAGCAACATCAAGATGGAAACACATGAGGTCATGATGGAGTACTTCAAATATACCAGAAGAGACAGTATTCCTTAGTTATTATAAGATTATTTACATACTTTTCTATTGGGCCTGATGCCTATCTTTCAATTTTATCTTCTCAACTTGATTCCTGGACTTTTCACTTAGTGTATTTTAAGGCCGTTATATCAGATTTGCTACCCTATTCTTTCCTCACCTAGTTCTTTAGGTAGAATAACAACTCTGCATATAATCCCTGAGGTTATGGTAATGCTAAAACCTAGCACCAGCTGCTAGTCATATGTCCAGTTAGGGTTCTTCTCTGATAGTAGGACTAGGACAAACTAGAAGCACAGTCTAACTTTTTGTGGTTACTTTAACCCAATATTTGACTGGAATTTGGTGAGAATAGATGATAACACTTAAGAGTCTAGAGCTAATTTAAATAATTTTATCTTCAAGATATATGCAACAGGATTGCCTCATGTTACAGTTACCTTGGAAGATTTAGTTTTTCAGACAGATTTTACTAAAATCTATCAACCCAGCAGTAGGGTTCTGGTCATTTAGTCATGGTGATTCACACAAGATTCAGATTAAGCATTCCTTGGCCATGTGTGATAAACACTTCTCACTATATACCTAAATTAAAACATTGAAGTTGAGAGAAGACTTCTCGTATTATAACATTTGCATAATCATGTTTTGCCCTAAGCCCTAATTTACATATTACATATTTCTGTACAGTTACTAGTGATTGTCATACTCAGAAAGACTGAGTACAAAAATGAGAAATTGTATTTAATCTTATTATTTTTATTATTTGTATTTTTCACATGAACTTTACAATGAAAAGTTGTTGAATAAATAAAAGTAATTTATATTCATTTTGTTATATCCAATATAAACTGCATTATTTTGTATCCACTATAAACTATATTATTTTGATTAAAAATATATATTTCTATGATATACCATGGATGTGAAATTAGAACTTAATAGCACCAATTTCCTGGAAAGGATTCAATACAGAGAAACCAAATGTCCCTCCACATGCTTCTCATATAAATATAAAGTACAAAATGATGCAGGCAACTTGAAAGATTTAATATTAAGCTATGAACAACAATCATCAGAATTCAATATGTTGAATATGAAATATTTCCCAATATTTTTTTAATGTTAAACAAAATCAGAAAAAAATATTTCATTCATTTTATATTGTAAGTCCAAATAGTCTCATTGTCAAGGAAATGCTCTTTTAAATGAAGTAAGAAACTAATGATTTGATATTGACATATGTTTACTCTTCAGATCATTAGTTTAAAAATGTCTTTTAGAAAGTCAAGCCAGCTAGCATGAATATACCATTATCTCTTAAGCACTTCAGCAATTGTAAAAGTGCTGAAGAGTGACATATGTTTTCCTTTTTCTAGAATTTAAGACAGAATATTTGCTGAAGGATCCTGTTTGCACTAAATGATGATGCAAGGAATATAGACTAGAATCATTCTAATTCCAGAGATTTCTGTAAAACAATGTCTCAATATTATGTAATGAATCCAGTTTTATTTTTAAAGGAAACTATTGATTGCTGGAATTTTCAATAATTGTTCAAAAATTAATAAAAATTCCAATTGGAGGATTTGTCATTTAGAAAACAAAAATAAATTTCACATTATTTTTCAAATACAACATTGGTTATAATTTCTATTTCCATTCCTCAAAAGAAATAAAATATATTAAAAATGCAAAGGCTAAAGAATGTTTATATATCCCCATATATTAGGAAAAGTTAGCATTTACAAATGTATAAAGGTTTTTCTTTATCTTCATTTGACAAAGTTCAGTCATTTCCCAGGGAATTAAAGTACTCAAATGAACAAAATTCTGGAGAATATCTTTACATAGAATGAATATTAAAAGTGTTAATCCCATACATATACCACCTATATGACAGATTCTTCAGATAGGAATTCGTAAAATTTCATAATTGTCATAATTCTTTTGGATTCAAGACATAGAAATGAAATTTTAACTAGTGTTTTATGTGATATTGTTGGTTTGGAAATGATGCTGAGGTTTCTCACATAAACAAAGGAAGGTTAAAGAAAAATTTCAAGGGAGAGAGCTGTTCTTCAGGGAAAACTGACACAAGGGAATCAAAAGCCATCAGAATTCTCTCTCCTTTTTGAATCACTGTTTTTGTCTACACGGTTGTGTTATTTGTTTTTATTACAGATGAAATTTTTTTCAAATATGTGTTAAGATGGCCAGGTAAATCATCTCAACTTTACATTCACCAATCCCAGAGAGGGAATGGTTTCCTAGTTCTTAATTTAAATAATTTAGAGAATGCTTTTAATTAGTGCACATTCAGTTAAGGGAGATAGACACTTTAAGAATATGGTAACAGCCATTTGAAATATGTGGTTTTGGTGATGGGAGAAGAATTTCACCAAAATGAGAAAGTTTGTTCTGTAGAAATGAGGAAAGTTGATCAGGCAAAACAGTAAAAGTGCCCTACAGTAGTCCTGATAACGACATCTCCATTCCTTTATCTATGCATATTCAAATATGTCTAATTCACTTTTTTCTCCTTGGACTACAAGATAGTCTCGATGGTAAATTCTTTGTGTTTCTAGTAATATATTACTTACATGGGAGAAAAGAAATGTTTCAGAAGTCAGCAATTACACTTTGGTCATGGAGAAACATAGACATAGATGAAAGATATATTAATTTTGTGAAAATATTTCTTACCAAGAATGATCATATCTGACTCTCCTTTCACATCATATTTTCTCCCAGAATAAAAGTGTATATCTGGAGTGGATAACAAATTCCACAGAAAATGTTGACAAATTTATGTATCCATTGTAAATATTAATTGAAAAATCATAGGTATACTTACCCAGGGTGGTCATGTTTATGGTTATGACAAAGATATTTGAATTGCACCGGAAAATTATAACCTTCTGACAAAAATTTTGAAAGATGTGTAAGTTTTTCTTTTATTCCTAATATGGTTCAAGTTTGCCCTTCAATTCTAGTAATGAAAAAGAAAACTAAAAAATTAAGAGATGACAATAACAAGATGTAACTAGTGTAAAATCAATGGTGGGAACTCTCCTGTCAAATAATGTATATTTTTTTCACTATATCTGAGTTAGACCTATATTGATTGTCATTATAAGAAGTTTTCTTTGGAGTTGGCCTGGTGGTGTAGCAGTTAAGTTTGTGCACACCACTTTGGCGGCCAGGGTTCGCAGGTTTGGATCCCGGGTGCGGCTGGACACATCACTTATCAAGCCATACTGTGGCAGTGACCCACATAAAGTAGAGAAAGATGGGCACAGATATTAGCTCAGGGCCAATTTTCCTCAGCAAAAAGAGGAGGATTGGCAACAGATGCTAGCTCAGGGCTACTCTTCCTCACAAACACACAAAAAAAGTTTTCTTTTTTTTCCATTTGTTTATATAATGCTTAATAAATTAGTAAATTAGTTTCAGAAAATATATTCTTTCAAAATATGTCATCTCAAAAGCCAAAAATAACAACGATGCAGAATTTACTCTCTCTAGATAATCTAGAGAGTGGTATCTCTGTATGTATCAGAATT